TCTACCTACTTGTTTCAACTTTCTTCGATTACCTACGTGCTTCGACTACCTACTTGTTTCGATCTACCTACTTGTTTCGACTTTCTTCGATCTACCTACTTGTTTCGATCTACCTACTTGTTTCGATCTACCTACTTGTTTCGATCCACCTACTTGTTTCGATCTACCTACTTGTTTCGATCTACCTACTTGTTACGATCTACCTACTTGTTTCGACTTTCTTCGATCTACCTACTTGTTTCAACTTTCTTCGATTACCTACGTGCTTCGACTACCTACTTGTTTCGATCTACCTACTTGTTTCGACTTTCTTCGATCTACCTACTTGTTTCGATCTACCTACTTGTTTCGATCTACCTACTTGTTTCGATCTACCTACTTGTTTCGACTTTCTTCGATCTACCTACTTGTTTCAACTTTCTTCGATTACCTACGTGCTTCGACTACCTACTTGTTTCGATCTACCTACTTGTTTCGATCTACCTACTTGTTACGAGCTTCCTACTTGTTTCGACTTTCTTCGATCTACCTACTTGTTTCAACGTTCTTCGATTACCTACGTGCTTCGACTACCTACTTGTTTCGACTTTCTTCGATCTACCTACTTGTTTCAACTTTCTTCGATTACCTACGTGCTTCGACTACCTACTTGTTTCGACTTTCTTCGATCTACCTACTTGTTTCGATCCACCTATTTGTTTCGATCCATCTATTTGCACCTACATGTTTCGACCAACCTACTTGTTTCGATCTACCCGCTTGTTTCTATCTACCTACTTGTTTCGATCTACCCGCTTGTTTCTATCTACCTACTTGTTTCGATCCACCTATTTGTTTCGATCCACCTATTTGCACCTACATGTTTCGACCAACCTACTTGTTTCGATCTACCCGCTTGTTTCTATCTACCTACTTGTTTCGATCTACCCGCTTGTTTCTATCTACCTACTTGTTTCGATCTACCTACTTGTTTCTATCTACCTACTTGTTTCGATCTACCTACTTGTTTCTATCTACCTACTTGTTTCTATCTACCTACTTGTTTCTATCTACCTACTTGTTTCTATCTACCTACTTGTTTCTATCTACCTACTTGTTTCGATCTACCTACTTGTTTCTATCTACCTACTTGTTTCTATCTACCTACTTGTTTCTATCTACCTACTTGTTTCTATCTACCTACTTGTTTCGATCTACCCGCTTGTTTCTATCTACCCGCTTGTTTCTATCTACCTGCTTGTTTCTATCTACCTGCTTGTTTCGATCTACCCGCTTGTTTCTATCTACCCGCTTGTTTCTATCTACCCGCTTGTTTCTATCTACCTACTTGTTTCTATCTACCTACTTGTTTCTATCTACCTACTTGTTTCTATCTACCTACTTGTTTCTATCTACCTACTTGTTTCTATCTACCCACTTGTTTCTATCTACCTTCTTGTTTCTATCTACCTGCTTGTTTCTATCTACCTACTTGTTTCTATCTACCTACTTGTTTCTATCTACCTACTTGTTTCCATCTACCTGCTTGTTTCTATCTACCTACTTGTTTCTATCTACCCGCTTGTTTCTATCTACCTACTTGTTTCTATCTACCTACTTGTTTCTATCTACCTACTTGTTTCTATCTACCTACATGTTTCTATCTACCTACTTGTTTCGATCTACCCGCTTGTTTCTATCTACCTACTTGTTTCTATCTACCCGCTTGTTTCTATCTACCTACTTGTTTCTATCTACCTACATGTTTCTATCTACCTACTTGTTTCTATCTACCTACATGTTTCTATCTACCTACTTGTTTCTATCTACCTACTTGTTTCTATCTACCTACATGTTTCTATCCACCTACTTGTTTCTATCTACCTACATGTTTCTATCTACCTGCTTGTTTCTATCTACCTACTTGTTTCGATCTACCCGCTTGTTTCTATCTACCTACATGTTTCTATCTACCTACTTGTTTCTATCTACCTACTTGTTTCTATCTACCTACTTGTTTCTATCTACCTACTTGTTTCTATCTACCTACTTGTTTCGAAACCTGTTAATATTACAATGTACCAGAGCAGGAGAAATGTTTTCCTCAAAACTGAAAGCGCGATCAGAACATTTCGATTTATTTGACCTAACAACGAGCCGGGTTCCCCCGTTATTTAGTGGTTGACTATTGCACTTCACTTACCGTCCTCGAATCAAGTAGGGCATGGTCCTCCACGTTGCGGCGGCTCTGTAATGCTCTACCAGAAGTACTACTCAGTATGTCTGGACTGTCACTTCTTCATTGGTGCAGGAAGCGGCGGTGACACTGATAAGGAAGGCAGACAACAGACCATAGAAGTCTTGCCCTGGAATTTTTGCTTCTCACAGGTTGGATGAGATTTTTTAATCGGACTCATCAAAAAGAGGTCTGAACTAATACTAGGTTTTTACTAATCCCAGACTGGTGCTAATCACAGGCTGATAATGATCCTTGGTTGGTGCTAATCCCAGTTTGGTGCTAATACCAGGTTGATACTAATCCCCAAACTGGTCCCAGGTTGATGCTAATCCCAGTTGATACTAATCAAAGCCCATATTTATACTCTTTTTTAGTAGTGCTGGGCCATGTTCCCTCTAAGGTTTGCTGGTTCGTGTGCAAAAATCATACAGTTGTCTGCAAAGTTTTACATTATCAGAATTTTTTGTGTGCAAAATTTTACAGCCCACAAACACAAACTTACATGGAAATTTGCTGCGCTGATACTCAAAACTGCTGCGCGGCGTCTGCGAGTGAGCTGCGCGGCCGCGCAGCTTAAAGGGAACATTGATGCTGGGCGCTAAGCCAGAGGTTTAGTTGTATTTATTACAATTTGGCACTCAAAACATTCAAAAGAAACAAGAACACAGCAATGTACGGTGGTATCCCGGTCTTTAATCATTGACCAAAACCTTTATGCCAGCAGAGCATCATGTTGTTTAAACATTAACATTAGGACTGTTAGGATTAACTGATATATTTGTACCAAAGGAAAAAAAACTGCAAAAAACCAAAAATAACCAACCCCCTCCCCCCTCCCCCAATACAATTTTTTTATTTCATAAATAAAGATAATTTTTGTATTTCATAAAAGTTATTTCATAAATAAAGATAATTTTTGTATTTCATAAAAGTTATTCAAAGAGGAAAGGTATTATCTAAATTAAACTTTTTTTTTTTAAAATAAAAAAAAAATTTTTATTTAATATAATTTTTTTTTAAAATTTAAATTTTTTTTTTTAAAAAAGTAAAATTTAATTAATAATTAAAAAAAAAAAAAAAAAAAAAAAAAAAAAAAAAAAAAAATTTTTTTTTTAAAAAAAGAAAAAATAATTAATAAAAAAAAAAAAAAAAAAAAAAAAAAAAAAACCAAAAAAACAGAAGACCACAAGGACTTCAAAAAAAAAAAAATCTAAAGATATTCAATAATCATCCAAAACTGAAAGTACACCTTAGAAATGGAGATACGCTAAGAATAAAAAAAAGCATGAAATAAATCAATTGTTTAAAATAAATTTATAGTTTAAAAGAGAGACTATTATTTTGAGGTATTGATTTGAGTTTGGCCACGAGTCAGTCATTGAAGTTTTCTCTTGGGTCTTAGATAATAACAACAAAAATTTTGTATGCATATTATTATGGAAATAGAAGCGCTTTCCATTTTTTAACCCACAAAATTTATTCGCAATTGTCATTCAATAAGTATCAGCGATGACTTTTTTTTTTTCCAACAAACTTCCAAAGCCCATCAAATTATTGATTGATATAATAAATAGATATTACCCAGTTTACCAACTTGTACATATTCCGGTTCCAAAAGAAACCCCAAAAAAAAACCCACAAAAAAACCCAACAAAAATACCAACATACAAGTTAAACGAAAATATGGGTATTTCATGTCAGTTACCATTTCAAATTTAAATAGCAATCTATGCCAAATAAAAAGAATATGATGATTATTTTTTATAAAATTTCACAAATTAAGGTGAAAAGTCCCAACAGTTTTATAACATGAATCAAAGTTGACATTAAAATAAAAAATATTATGAATCCAACAACTGGCCATAAAATGTTCTTTTTGCTATTATTTTAAAAAAAACAAACAAACTTGTTAACTTGACAATGAGGGCGGCAGTTCATGCAAGACAGTTTTAATACTGACATTAAGAGCTGACTTTTGATCAAATGACCATCACTCACATCATGTAATGCTGTTTGATTAACACAAAGATCTTGTTGACTGTCAGATTGTTTTTGTTTTTTCCATACATACGGGTGAACCAAAGACGTCCCATAAAATATCAACTGAGAGCTAAGTGGAACCATGTAGACCATGAGCTACTGTAAACAAAGTTGGGATTTTGCATTTTTAATTTTTGAAGCTTGCCCGAGTTGTAAAGACAAAAAAATAACAGCTTAGGACGTCTAATTCAAATGAATTGAGGTGAACATATTTTTGCTATAAGCATTGTCTTATAATTAATACACACCCATAAACTTAATATTTAAAAAAAATATATATTTAAAAAGCAGGATAATGGAAGGAATGATATGTGCTAATTTAATTTTTAAATACATAGTAAGAGGTATATTTAGATTTAAATACCCTCTACAAACATTTTAAAATCAAATATTTAAACATTTATTTCATAATTATCCTCCATCAGCTTGTAGGCCTACTCTAAGCATTATATAGAATAACATAGACTTCAAAAATTTGAATAAGACAATTTTAGTATGGTGGATAAGAGTAACCAAGAAATTTGTGCTTTTAATGTATGTTTTATATCACAGGAGTTGAGTGCCTTCAGTCAGATATAATCCATCAATATCAATAAACTGAACGGGGGGGGGGGGTGTTTGCAACAAAAAGTTTTTAAATATTGAGTGCTAATTTGTGCTTTTAATGTATGTTTTATATCACAGGAGTTGAGTGCCTTCAGTCAGATATAATCCATCAATATCAATAAACTGAACGGGGGGGGGGGGTGTTTGCAAAAAAAAGTTTTTAAATATTGAGTGCACCATGTGTCATAACTCATTTTACTTGGAATATACAAATAATAATTACAATCTCGTCAGCGAGAGTTGTAGGTGGAGATTTAGTTTCATTTCACTAAATGAGGACTAAAGTCAGATCAAATTTGCATCAACAATAAAAATTGCAGTTCTGATATTGCTTAGCGACTTGGAGATGAATAATGTTTAGCTGCCATACTGTTGTAGCTGTATATAGTTTGAATAACCTGATCTTCCCGTATATTTTATAACAATCAAAATAAATTTCAAACTCCTTAATCATATAATACTGCACGATATTATATGCAAATTGTAAGCAAATGGGCACAAAAATATTAATTTCTTTTCTATAAGAAGTAGACAAACTTTAAACCAATTTTTAAAATAAAAAAAAAAGCTTGTTAAAAATTGATTTAGAAATTCTTTTCAGCTGTTGGTAGAAAACGTTTTGAAATACCTTCAGGTGATTGATTTTTAAAAAAATGATATTTATGGTGTTAGTTATTTCTTTTTAATAAAAATTTAAAACCCAGTAAAAGTTTAAAAATATATAAAACTGTTTTCCATGGCATGCTACAAAAGGGAAAACAGATAACAGTAGACAAATTAATAATAATGTAACTGCTCTTAGTTTTTCTAGGAAATCACTACTGCCAGAGCTGTAGATTATCCAATATAGGAATACAATATTACCAGCAACAAACCAAAGTCCAAATGATGAAAATGCATGTGTAACATGGTCTAAATAAAGTACAAAAATAAAGCATTTCACATCGGCCCCGGCACGTGGGAACAGTCCTCAAAGGATCAAGACTCCCTACACAAGGTCTCCATGCAACATGAGGCTGACGGAACAGCTGCTGCAGAACACAAAAGACAAACCAGAAAAACCAGAGGTGTCTCTGTACCTGGAGGTTATCCCATCCATCCCCTGCACCAGAACATTTTGCGCCAGTGTCATCCTGATCAGCCATCTACACACCCAACACAGAGATATTCCGCCCCAGCAACAAGCCAATGTTTAAAATGGTCAAGATCTATTTTCGACGGATGAACTACCGAATGACCACCACACTTCAAAAGGTTGAAAACTCAAACTAAAAAAAACAACCTCGGCCATTAAAGTAATATAACTGTAATCCATGTTCAACATTCCATTAGTTCTTTATAATAAATCCTCCATTCAATGAAATGTTCTTACATACCAAAGTGATAAAGCCCCGTTACAATTTTTTCATTGCAACTATAAAGAATGCAGCTAAAAGCATTCAATACAAAGAATAAGACACAGACTTTTCCTGTACAACAAATATCACTTTGGCCATTTAAAATGACAAATATATCAGATCTTGGCATTAAAATCTTATCATAATTTTCGTTAAATAGGGCATAATAAGTGAAGGCTGTACTATTTAAAAAAAAAAAAACTAAAATTTTAATCACCATAATAATTACTTGTTATGTAAATAACATATTGATGGCATTTAGGAATACTGAATAAAAACCTGAATGTTGCTAGAGGTGTGTGGAGAGTACGCTGCTGCTATAGGTCAGAGACATCTATGTCTTGATAATTTATTCTTCGTCCCGATAATTCCATGTGTGTTTTGATAATTTCATCTGTGTTTGACTTTAATATAATATCTAACTTCATATCTGCTCATCCTGCACCTCCATATAAACAATTAAACTTTATGAGTGTCTACGTGACGCAGGGATCCCTTGGCAGCGACAAGGGCATCCTTTAGGTACCCCATGAATCTGTGAACATCCTCAAAGCTACAATACATGGGCACTGGGGTGATTCGAATGACTCTCGGAAAGCGTTTGTCACACTGAATCATGGGAGAAAGAAACAAACATCATATGAATGCATGTTCATTTGTTACAATGGCTTAAAAAAAATTAAAAACAGCTTTTAAGTAAGAAGCAATGGAATTAACCCTTTCAGTCACATTATGCCCTTCCTGCCGTTATGCCTCTGTCACGCAAATACCACCGCGAACATAATGCTATTTTCAACGTTACCCAGTGAATTTAACTTTTCTTATTAATGAATTCCAAACTGCCTAATTATAAACAGGAAGTCTTAAGCCATTTTTTTGTGGAGGTTTTTGGCTGTGTGCTTAATCTTAAGCTGCTTTGGTAAATCTTTGCTAAAATGGCGCTTGCGTTTCTAGAGTTGAGCCAAGCTGCAAGTGTGTCATCTAATTGTGTTGACAGTGATGAATTTGATGCAGAAATAGAAGCAGAAATAGATAATGGAAATGAAAGTGATGTTGATATTGAAATAGTTCAATGCATTCATTTCCCAGATTACACTTCTGAACTGAATGACTACTTTTGTTCATTCATCCCTGAGACTTATCATGAAGAATTGACAATGCAGACTAATGCGTATGCAAGCTCTACCAGGCAAAACAGGGTTTGACGTAGCAGCCAATGATATAACCGGATGTTTGGAATTCATCAGATACCAGAATATAAAATCTACTGGTCAAGCAATGAGCCGTTAGGTTTTGAAAGTGATTTTTTTCTTCAACATGAATTTATTTTGAATTTTTGTTACAAATGTATACGATATAAATAAATATCTTTTAATTGAATTAAAATTTCATCTTTTATCTACAATTATCGATTAGTTTTTTAGGATTGGATGAAAGACTAATTTTAATGATTTTTTTAAAGCCAGCAACTTATGAAAGAAATGGAGTTATTTCCCTTTGTTTGGTACTGAAGGTAATTTCCAAGTTGTTTGCTATGGTTTTGTTTTTATTAATTTGTGTTAGATTTCCATAGCATCATATTCCCAATCCAGCAAAAATTGAAAAGAAAATCACCACAGTTTCTTTTGTAAAATTTTTTTAAAATTTACATATGATGGACATTATTTTGGATTAAAATACCATATTTTCAAAAACAAAGCGTCTGCGCCGTAGTGTCTACAAACCATGTCTTATACCTGCATCCCATTTAATGTTACTTTAAATTATCCTTATTTGTAAATAATATATCTATGGCTCCCAAATATTTATGAAATCTAACGAGGGAAAAGTTTGCGTCTACCGCCTCAAAAGTTTGCAGACCTGTGATATATATACTTACCACAACACCTCGCTTCTCCAGTTCCTTAAAAACCTGCTCAATACAAACATTAAAGGCTAATGAAAGTTGGGCGCCCCGTTGCTTGGGGTCGGATGGGGTGAAAATGTCTATGTAGACTGCATCGCAATCGTCCTCTGGGGCCTTGCCCGCCGGTCGTTGATAGGATTTTTGGATTAGATGCTCGAGGTAGGCAGTCAGCACAAGTGATTTCTTTCTGAGCTCCTCTACGCTGGTTTTCTTGAATATCTGCCAAGAGGTATGGAAAGATTCAATGGCCTCATACTTTGCAGATTTCATTGACAAATTCAATGGCTTCTTATTTTAAAGATTTCATGGAAAAATTCAATGGCTACTTAGTTTAACGATTCACAACTATTTGTGGATGCAAAAATTCAATGATAATCATAAATTTTCATGAAATGATAAACTTCAGCGTGATGGTGGCAGCAGGTTCCAAGAAGCTTAACAGTGACATGAATTCTTATTCTTCGGATGCCATACAACATCATCAAGGCATGAAAGGCTAGCTCAGATTTGCCCCTAAGAAAATTTGTTTGGCACTGAGCTGTAGTTTATTTTCTACAGCTCAGTGCCAAACAATCGAGAAGGACCTCAAGGTAAAATTATTCAAAAGTCAGATGAAGGCACCCATTTTAATAAGAATAAAATTACAAACGCTTTTGAGATTTAATTGTTGATAATAAAATTTGTGCTATAAAATAATTATTATAAAGCACACCAGTTTAAATTTGGAGGTTTTGTTATGACTTCTGGTGGATTATTTTTCTTCTTCAAAAGGGCCCCAAACTTTTACAAAACATAGGGTCTCATCAAGTCTAAATCAAGCGCTGTGTAATAACAGGTCAGTTAATTGTCCTTGGTTTAGTATCCTACTAAAAACATGACAATAAATATTTACCTCCAAGCTGGCTTTAAGTGGCACACAGAGAAATCCAGGTGTGTTGCTGATTCTGTAGCCTCTGGCACCGGGGATGAGGTCCATCTCTATTCAAATAGAGCACATTAAGTGTAGGAGACTTCTGGCTGGACATAATTGTCTCCATCCCCCTCCCCCACCCCGTCCCTTGCCACAATTGGTCAACATTAAAATTGTGCTCACATCTAAATCAGCTTTTGACATGCTTGCAGACCTGTTTACCCTCAAGCTCTTAAAATCGTACAAAATCATCACAAAATCTTTCAATACATTATCTTAATAGTAAAACAAACCATGCAGTATATATATATAATGTATACACCTGAAAATCGTACATTGTTCCCCAAAATCGTAAGAGTAAACAGGTCTGTGCTTGTTGTCTTTGATATTGCAGAATTTAAATATTTTTTAGTTTTTTTCAAAGGACAGTAAGAAAAAGTGTAAAAATTGAATAGGTTAAATGATGGCTAGAAACAAACTCATTTGCTGTAGTAATAGCTGCAGGCATACTCAAAGAACTGTACCAAAAATTCTGTTGTATATCCATGACAGGTACCCAGCATCCAAGCACTAGCTATTCAACCATTAGTTTTAATCAATAACACTGCCTAACACAGCTAATGTACACATCTCTAGGTTTCAATAATTTATTAACATTAACGTAATACACAAGATGATCTGCTCTACCAAACTGGAATGTCTTAAACAGAAATGTCACATGACATTTGAAGATATAAACCCACATGAAAAAACTTACGGTTGTTCATTTGAAACCTTGTTTTCATGTCATGCCCCCACCAGCCAAGAAGCTTTGGAAAGTCATTGGTCTGGAAGTTCTCATGAATGAACAGACCGGCCAATCCACCAGCACTTGCATTCAGGTACTGGGGACAAAGGGGAGATAATTGCATTGACGTACAAGGGACATAGAGGAGATAATCATTGAGGTACTGAAAAGACAACATTTCAACTAAGAATAAAATGAAGACATTTCAAATGGTATTGTCTATAATTGTTATAAAGAGTGTATAAATTATTGGGGTTATCATACTTTAAAACGCAATCAATGAGGTTCCTTCTATGGCCACAATCTATAACAATGAGAGTAAACAATATATAAAATACCTTGTTATCTTCAAAATTTAAACAATCTAGGACAAACCTTGGAGGTTAACAGAGACATACCTTTTTATGTAAACAGTCAAAGACATTTTTTTTTAACACTTTCACGACATACCTTTAATATACAACATCTTTGACAAACCTAGCATGTAGAGAATCATAGTTGTAACAAATATGTAAACAATCTATAATTTAAATTGTATGTACACAATCTATGTTAATACATGAATGTACACAGTTTATGATATACCTTGTATGTACACCAGCATGCAAAGTCTACACCCCAGTCATGTATCTTCAGTGGAACATTGCCAACAGCATGAGCCAGGTCCCAGCCAACATGGCAACCCTTAAAAAACAAGAATTGTTTCCATGTCCAATATTAAAACTTTCAAGATAAAAATAACGAATCAATTTACCTAATATATGAAGTATCGCAACAATGATTTTATAAAATACCTAGTCCTAGCCACATATCTGCTGTCACCTTGTCAGTGATGGCCCCTGATATCTCCCATGATATTAAACTCCTGATTTATATTACAACTTAATGCAGCAAATATTACCTTAGCTTTACCAGCCTGTGTTATTTTTGGAATGTCAAACAACTGTCCTGTGTAATACTGTACACCAGAAAAACAAACCACAGCAATTTTGTCTCCCTGCTTCTCTATCACATCCAGTATGTCTTCAGTTCGAAGTGTAAATTCACCCTAGCAGAAAATAATTTAAAAAATCAATGATTATTATTAAATTTATGAAAAGTTGTAAAGGTGTGGACCTGCCTTACCAAAGTGCTCTGAGGCATTCGGCGTACGCTAAAATACCGGAACAACTAAAACTCTGGAACAACTGCCACAAATACAACACAGGCTTAATTAAGAAAAAGACTGGATCAAGTTAATGAAACTATGCAAATAATAAAACAGTGGAGCTACTAAAATAAAATAAATAGATTAACTGTTTTTGCAGTAAGACAGGAAATAACAGTCCATTGGGTCAAAATGAAATATACAAACAAAATAACATAACATTTTTTTTCCAAGTTCTGGACTGGGGTCACTTACACCACAGAGCATCTTAAATGTAAGCTAAAGGAAACAAACTTAAGCCTTACCTCACGTGGCTCTACACATATCATGGCATCCTTTGGGTCAAACCCGTGGAGTCTGGACTGGCTTTCAAATGTGTACTGTGAAGCGGGTTATGAACAGGATTAAATTGAACAAGTTTCTAAGTGCATCTTATCAGAGCACTTGGCAGGTAGTGATTACTGAGAACTTGGCATGCACAATATTACAACCGGACTTTCATACTTAATCATAGATATGCCAGTTGGGCCAAAATAATTAATATTTTATTGAAAATATAAAAAAAAACATTTTTTGGTATAACTTCCATAAACAAATTTGTTTTAAAAAGGCTTTATCAAATCTAAATGTTTAAATGCCTCACATGATCTGAAGGAAAAGCTTTGCTTTCACACAAAATCTTGTACCTGTCCTTTGTTGGTCGATAGAAGGAAATCTGTGGTGAATAAAAGTTAAGAATCATTACGGCATGCGTTATGCAGCATGAAACAATATTAACTTCCCTTTAAATAATGGAAAACAAAGAGAAACATCAGATGTGCAGCAAATGTCTAGTTTGTTCTAAAGAGGTGAAATTTGGTTGACAGTCAAGTCTCACAGTGTCTCTCCAAAAAAATGAATCTGTTTGCCCTAAAGAGCTAACATGGGGTTGAAATTCAAGTCTCACAGTGTCTCTCAATAAAAATGTCTCAATTGTCTTAAAGAGCTAACATTGGGTTGAAATTCAAGTCTCACAGTGTCTCTCAATAAAAATGTATCTGTTTGCACAAAAGAGCTAACATTGGGTTGACAGTCAAGTCTCACAGTGTCTCTCCATAAAAATGTCTCTGTTTGCCCTAAAGAGCTAACATTGGGTTGACAGTCGAGTCTCAGTGTCTTTCAAAGTAAATTATGAATAAACATGACTGGTACTCTATCCCAGTAAATTTCAAGGACAATCTTTACATCATGCACTTAAAATGTAATAAGCTGATGAGTGAAGTTAGTCATAAACATAAGGATAAAACAAATGACATATCTTTAAATATACTTTTTTATTTTTCTTATCCAATTGGATTCTCATATAGCAGTACCGGTAGCATAGTTTTATGTTAATATTCAATAAAAAAATTTCTTCAATCTAAAAACAAGTGCTCATGTGAGATAAATACAGTTTACTTATTCACTTAACAGCTGTTAGAAGTCAAGATTTTATATTTAAAACTATTGAAACAGACATTAGTATTTTGAACTTGCCTTCTTTGTTAATTAAGTTTATATAACAGCTAAGACCAATGAACACAATACAGGGGATAGAACTGAAAACATGGCTTCTCATAGATTTTGCCTGAATTATTGGGTGTAGATGTAGTTTACAAAGTCAGTTTACATGGCGTAGAGTCTCCATTAGTGGAGATGTGAAACACAAGGTTGTTGGAAAATGTTGCTTTGCTTTTTCTTTCCTTTTTTGGGGGCTGAGTGGGGGGTGGGTGGGTGTCCTTTGAATTGTAATTTCAAAACAATTTTGATTGCTAAACATGAAGGGTTAGTAACACAGGATTATCCTCCAATAAGTTAGAGTGATGTTTTCCATTAGCAACATGTTTAAAGAACCTGTTCTTTTTTTTTTCCCAGAACAAAACTTGAAAGAAAGAAGGGGATAATAATATAATAAAGTAAATAATGTTCAGAAAGTATTTCAACATAATTTACCATCCATTCTCAGTTATGCTTTTAGAATTGATAGATATAAATAGCTCAATCCCTGCCAACCAATCAAATCATGTTAAAAACAAAAAAAGATAAAAAAACAACACACTTGTGAATACACTTACCAGCAACAGGTGCAAGTTGACCGTTAAACCATTCATCAAAGAAACCTCTTCCCTCTTACACCCTGGAGAAGAGAACAGAAACACTGAGTTTAACTGATCAATTTAGTAGCATGTGAGATATCGGTTACTTTGAAGTCATAAACTAAGCAATGGGTTGGATGAAAAATGGAACTGGCTCATGATTCTCACCCACAATTTTAGCCATGTCTTCTTCCAACAATTCATCACACCAGGCCCAGGGCAGCTCTCCATTCGTATGACCTTGCACCCCTCTGAAATGATAAAATGTCACTTCTAATTTCAGGGTGGGTCCACTTTAGGGATTTTTTTTTTTCAGAACAAAATTAAGTGAATATTTTTAATACATCCATGTTAAATGAAATCTAAAGCATAAAATACATTTTTTTCCCCAAACATTTTGATTTAATCTTTTTAAGCCGAACCAGCAAACTTGTTTATAATATATACATTATTTTGCCCTTTGTACAAACATTGCTTGAATTTCAGTAAAAGTGGATAAAGTATGTTCATTATAAATTCACTATAAAAATGAACAGCTTTGAGAGCAGATTTTTTTGTTAATGTCTTATTTTCTACAAGGTACACAGGAAGAAAGAATTCTGTATAAAAAAAAAAAAAAAAAAAAGGTTTCTTAATTTTAACAGAAACCTGAGAGAATGATTTTATTGCCCATCTGAATTTATGTTTTTTTTTTTTATTTTTTATTTTTTACAAAGAAAAAAGGAAAAAAAAAATTTGTAAAAAAAAAAAAAAAAAAAAAAGGTTTCTTAATTTTAACAGAAACCTGAGAGAATGATTTTATTGCCCATCTGAATTTATGATTCCCATGTAAGGCTTGCAATGAGAGGATATACGGTTATGTTAATTGTTTCTCGTCAAATACTTACAATTTCGCCCACTTGTCTATTTGTATATTCATGTACTCCTTTGTTTTCTTTGGACACAATCCTAGAGAATTACCACAGAAGTATACACAGTCCTCAGATAGATCTACAATGCTGGGATCAGCTGAAATGGTACAATATATGATTTTTAAAAAATTTTTAATTGTATATTTAAAATCAGGCACCATAATATCTTTATGTTTAAGTCATAAAATACATGCTAACTTCTTAATTGTTTGACTTCATATCAGTACTAAATCTTAAGAGAGGTGACTGTATTAAGGTTATTTGCGGTTTGCTTACAGATAAAGACCAAATTGCTGGATGTGTTTAGGCCTTGTGATTTTTATCCAGTGAAAACCACTCAAAAACATTACTATAAATCTCAAAGTCATCAAAGAAATACTAAATGCTCACTGTTTAAAACATCGCCCATTTTTGGATAGTGGAATTCATCACGTAAATATTTCAGTGGGTCTCTTTTGTCCATATGTCTGGCAAACTCCACATCCCCAAGTTTGAGGTTGTTTTCGTTAGCTATTTTTTCCAGTTCTTGCAAAGGTGTAGTAGAGTGTGAGTTGGCAGTTGCATTATTGACATCTCCCATGCTGATTGTCAAAATAATTTGGGCTATAAAGAGAGGTTTGTATATTATTAATTCGTGTTATTAAATTTCAATTACATTTTCTGTGCTTGGAAATTTCTTTCAACCATTGGACTACACTACAACCAAACGTAAATGGGTGGAACAGTCAATTGCTACAATATCCATTGAGACCGTCACACAGAAAATTTGCAAAAAAATTTAACTAGACTTTTTCCACTGGAAATAATTTGTTGCTATTACAAAATATTTGCAATGTATTCTTGTATGTACTAACATTTATAATGGTAAATGGAAAATTTACCATAAATTTGTCATATTGTTTCATCTGGGATTAGCTATGGTAAGCCTAAAAAAACAATCCATATGGATGTACACTTTAGCTGGGGGCGGGGCTGATTGTTCATCAGCTGATGAATTACCAATTTCATTATTTTGTCACTAGTACTGCTAATACTAGTTCTAGGATTATAATCATACGATTCAACAGAATCAGCCTCTGGATTTGAAATCATAAAATCACTGTCTGAATCATCATCAGGGTAATATTTTCAACCTTTATTACTTTATTAGATCGATCACCAGATGGGTCAGGTCAAGATTTCATGTTTGTAAACAAAAATAAAATGGTCAATCAAAACAACCGCTTCAAACACTTTGTTCTATGTAAAAACTCGTTCAAACACAGAAAAACCGGATGTTTACCCAAAGGGAATCATTCTATAATTGATTTAAAATAATTAAAAACTAATAGCTAAAAAAAGAACAGAAATAAACTGGTTTTTATACATCGATGATCACATTGTCGAAACGCCAAAATCTTCATTTCAAATCGAATACATTTTGATACGGAGAGAAAGAGTTAAATTATTTATTCTTGCTACTTAACTTAGCCAGCACAAACCACAACCCCAGTGCACATTATTTTTCAAAGTCAAAATTATTGATGCTTCTTGAACTTGACTTTATGTACTTTTAAAAAATAAAGTATGAAACATTTATTACAATAATAATAATAATTATTAAGTTCATTTAAAAAACATGCTTCAATTCTAATTAATGCACAAAGCGTGGTACAAAGTCAACTGGCCCTACTTTGACAGTCAAATTAATAATTAAAAGTTTTATTAAATGGGCTAGGCATATTCTAAGTAATTATATCCTGGCTAGCAACTATATTTTTTAAATGAGACTAGTTGGACACTGACTTCACTGATAGCTTACAAAACTTGACAAAAGTTAAAGGCCTAAGCCTATGTTTCTAAGCCATGCCCATTTACTTAGTTTTACTAAGTAAAAAGTAAGGCCTACTCTACAGTCTATAGTACTCAGTGCTGCTTAGGCTTAGACTAACTTAGATTAGAAACTTATTATACTATACTATACAATACTTGTTTGAAACAATACAAATAATATAATAAAAGTGTACTAATTAGTAATAATTAATAAGGTGTTGCTGGCAACGTACTGACCTGTGCCTGTATTTTTTTTTTTAGTGGAGTGGCTCTTCTCTACTCTACAGTGACTAACACTAACTATATAGTATAGTCTACAGACAGACAGATAGTGCAGTACAGACTCAGTAGTCAGTAGTACAGTGTGAGTGGTGATTGGGATTCCCAACCGGGAAGAATGAAGAGGAATGAACGCGTGTATTAAATACTGGTCTACACTCATAACCTTGGCCTGTCCTTATCGGCTTTGGGTATAATTTAGACCAAATGGTTCATTCCCATCAGCCGTCACCTTATTATTGTGGACAATGTTATAGAATGGAAAATATTATTATTGTGCTGAGGTAGGGACGAGTGTTGAGTAAAATCTGGAGTGATACCCCCTTTATTATAAAAAGCAAAACAAAAATTAGACGAATTAAACTTTTCATTAAATTATAAAAATTTAACAGAAAATTACTCAACAATGCTTAAAAAGTTAGAAATTATTATATGTTAAAATAATTCAAATAATTAAAAACCCATAATACAAATTAGTGTGATAATTCTTTAATACTTTTATATTTAATAAACATTAATACACATACTGACGGCAGCCGAAATAGCTCAGTTGGGAGAGCGTTAGACTGAAGATCTAAAGGTCCCTGGTTCGATCCCGGGTTTCGGCATCCGGCGGCTTGCCATACAATTTTTTTTTGTCAACATATATCATATTTCCGGTTCGTCTTGCTTCCATTTCATAGCCCCCCCTCACCTCCACATGTTTTTTATTAACATTTATTAATTGTGCTGAATAAAAAAGACTATCACGCAGCGAAGCTCTTTTTGTGACGACTGAACGTTGGTAAAAATGTAGAATTTTGTTTCTTTGGGAGGAGGTTACTTACTAATGTTTTGATGAATAAAGAGGCAAGAGTATGGTGTATGATGACTTCTGAAGGACTCTCTGTAAGACAATTGCCTAAAGGCCGGCAGGTAGGCTGTAGGACTGTCTGTAGGACTTGTGTTTAAGACCGGCAAGTAGAGTGTAGGGCTGTCTGTAGGACTATTGTGTAAAGGCCGTCAGGTAGAAACCGGAAATTATTATAGAAAATGAGACGTTAACTCTTTTGTTTAACATTTGGACCTAAACCGGCCCCCACGTGTCTGAGGGTCAGTGAACCGGCCCCCAAGTGTCTGAGGGTCAGTGAACCGGCCCCCAAGTGTCTGAGGGTCAGTGAACCGGCCCCCAAGTGTCTGAGGGTCAGTGAACCAGTCCCCACGTGTCTGAGGGTCAGTTAACCTGCCCACCCTGATTAAAAAGTTTGAGGACCCCTGGTGTAGAGTGTAGACATTAATTACCATTGTAATATCTTCGTGTGTGCGTGTGTGCCTACTATCAGCTGTCCCGCGATTCAAATTTCACTAGAAGAACAACTAAGTCTAGAGTCTGGACTTAATGGTTTCATCTGAGACAATTTTATTTAAATTGTACGTCTTAATTAAAAAAAAAGGAAAAGAAATAAAGTTTAAATCTAAAAAACAACAACAACAACAACAACAACAAAAAATTGAATTGTTTTTTTTTTTTTTTTTTTTTTTTTTTTTTTTTTTTTTTTTTTTTTTTTTTTTTTATTTCTTTTCCTTTTTTTTTTTTTATTAAGACGTACAATTTAAATAAAATTGTCTCAGATGAAACCATTGAATAGTTTTTTGACAGGCTAAAATTTAGTTTTTTTATCCTTCACATCTATTTTCGTTCTTTAAAATATGCAACAGTTCTAAAATTAGAATTCTTATATCTAAGGTAGGGGGCGTGATCGCCCCCCCCCTCCCCCACAAACCTCTTCACCTTCAGGAAGATATGTTAAAACGTTTTCCCCAGTAAGATATGTTGTGTCGAAGAACATAGTTTGACGTCATGTACTAGAAATTGGAATCTTAAACCTTGAGCTGGAGTCGTCATTTCTACAATGCCACTAAGTCGTTCGCAGCTTTAATCTGCTATACTGTGTTACTTTGCTTAAAAGTAATACTTACCTTTTCTGGGGGATTTCGCGACCTTTCAAAACTTCCGTTGGTAAACAACAATTCCACAATGTAATCCTTTTTTTCCTCTGTCCTGTGCGCTTTTTCTCCTTGGTAGGGTAGCATCGGCTTGGGTTACTCGGGTTAGTTTCTATGATTTCATTTCAGTCTCTAATTAATTCTGATCACGTCTTTTGTTGCCCGAAATAGACGGGAGCATCCAAGGGCGTGTAATTCAATTGTGTAACGTTTCAAGAACAACAATCCATGTACCACCATTTGTTTTTTTGTTTTGTTTTTTTTTTGTTTTTTTGTTGTTTTTTTCGTGGGGGGAGGGGGGGGGCGGGGGGGGGGGG